AGATCTTCACCAACCCCACATCTGATAGAACGCTGATTTCCAAAATATACAAAGAACTCAAGAAGCTAGTCACCAAAACACCAAATAATCGAATTAAAAGGTGGGGCACAGAACGAATAGAGAATTCTCAATAGAGGAACTCTGAGTTTTTTTAAATTTAGATAGAGCCTCACTCTGTAGCCCATGCTGGCTTCAAGCTCATTGTGTCACCCAGATTGGCCTTAAATTCACTGCAGTCCCCCTGCCTCAGCCTCCATAGTGTTGGGACTAAAGGAAGGAACCACCATGCCTGCTTTATAGACTGTTTTATGAAACTGAGGACAGTGAAGCAGACACAAATTCTGTGAAGTGATGCCAGAAAATTAACAAAACAGCAGAAATGACCCCGAAATAAAACCCAAAGTATCCAAAAAGGAAAAGTTCCCTAAACTGTAAAGTAACAATCTGATCTTTACGCCCAAATGTAAACAAACATGTAACTATCCTCATCGGAAATACAGCTTGTTCTTGTTGGTTTTGGAGGGTCTGCGCTTGGCACAGAGCTATCCAACAGAACTTTCTCCAACAGTGGGAACCTTCACCATAGTCTTCACAGTCCAAACCAAGAGCCAGCAGCCCAGTGTGGGCGTGCGGTATCTGAGTGTGGTCCATGCAGCTAAGGAAATGAAGAGTTTAATTGACTCACCCGTGGCTCTTCTCCACTTAAACAGCCACGTATGGCTGTCCGGCTCTGGGGAGCTTGATAAACAAGCTCCTGGATTTGGTCCTCGCCTGCATCCTGGCTCCTCCCCTCACCTCAGAAACCAGCTCTCAGGAGGCGGTACTGCTTTGTCACACCTCCAGGGCTCAGCCAATGTCAGCCCCTTGCTGAATTGCCCTCCCTTATCTACACTTCACAACCTTGTTCAGATTTCATTTCCTCCCTCGGGAGGGAGAACTTTCTCTGCTCCCCAAGCCCATCTCACCCACCATGAAGAGCCACCATCACCTCCTTCCTGTCCCTCCCAATCTATTTCTGTGGCTGCTCTGTCATTGTGTGGTTGTAATGTATTCTCCGTGGCACGAACATCTATATGAACTCTGAGGGCCAGGTCTCAACCATCCCTCATCCTAATACTGTGTGCCAAGCCATCATACAATACAGTACATGTGTTTACCCTAAGTATTTTCTGATTACAACATTAAAATTTAAATACACACTGTGCTCCATTAAAATAATTTTCAAAGTACAGCTACTTCATGATCATGGAAACTCCTGGGACCAAATTCTATTATGGAGCAAATTCTAAAGCAATAAAAAGTTCTTGATCAGTTGTGTTGTGGTGCACACATTTGATCCCAGTACTTCAGAGGCAAAGGCAGGCAGTTCTCTATGAGTTTGAAAGTAGCCTAGTCTATATGGTGAGTTTCAGAGCTACATAGTGAGACCCTGTCTTTAAAAATAAATAAATAAATAAATATTTTAAAAAATCAGTTTGCTTATTTCAAACTCCATCATTGTAATACAAACCAACGGAAAAATGTTCCTTGGAACAAGCCACACTTAGCGCTGTCTCTTAGACTTCAGAAATTGGTCTTGCCATTGATCTGCCCCCAGTACTTCTCCTGAAAGACCAGGATGAGGATTAGAAGCAAGAGGACATGATGTAAGGCTTCCTCCCTGACAGGGTCACTGAGAATCTGGAGTAATCAATTCTTGCCACACCCTATACTCAACCCAACCTCCAAGAAGAGAATAATCAACACCGCATCTAACATAGAAAGCACTGACTTCGAATGATGCATGACAGTTCAGTGGCATATGCTTCCCAAAAGGAACCAGGAGTTTCCCTTATGCCTTGGCAAAGCTTTTGCACAAGAAATCCTTCATTGTCTCATTTAGCATCTGTCACACTATTAACCTGGACTCATAGTCACAGTAGTTTTTTTTTCTTATCATGATTTCCCAACTAACCTATTATTTGTATTCCCACACAACCCCCACACCTAAAGCAGGCTCTGGAGGAACACATTTATAAGATCGATTTTTATGAGGTATTTACCAAGGACCAAGGCTCTGGTGGATGTGTGTTCCAAATGTGTGTTTTGCTGCTATCCAGTAACTTCGAGTTCAATAATGAAACAAGTGTCATTGCCAGAGATGCACACTGGTGTGCACAGCCATGGCACGGAGCATCAGAAAGGCCACGAATCCGAGATACTTGTCTCCTTATCTGATAGACTTGGACGCCTGCTTCCTTATTCATTTGGTGGTTTTGCTTCCTCTCAGAAGAACAAACAACACTCTCAATGCAATGACTGACTTAAGTAACTGAACCCTTTATGGCAGTAGGATCATTAACATACAACTCATGCCAAGTGGTGGTAGTGTACACCTTCGATCCCAGCAACTGGGAGAAAGAGGCAGGCAGATCTCTGTGGGTTCAAGGCCATCCTAGTCTACAGAGAAAGTTCCAGCACAGCCAGGGCTGTTACACAGAGAAACCCTGTCTAACAGAATATGTTTCAAAAGGAGATAAAGATCTAAGTTCTCTTTGGGTCTTTTAATGAATGAGATAAACGTCTTTCCTTAAGATATCTTAAATTTAAATACAGAAGTATTAATTTTAACGTCCTTATAAAATCCACCCAATCTAGAACAAAAATGCTGGTTAACTCTAGAAATTGCTTTCTGTGTGTTATTAGAATTGCCCATAAATTCTATTGCTATAAAATACACTTGTTTACAAAATGTCTATTGCTGCTTGGAAAGGGAAGATCTGGTTTTCAAAGATGATGTTATGAGGTTAAAAAATGAAGATGGTGACCTTAGGTCTCTCAAGATTTGTAAGCCCAGCGTGCCATCTGTCTCAATAATGCCAAAAGGACAGAAGCGACCATGGTGAGCAAGTGCTCGCAGCTGACAGTGACTGCTGTATTTGGGGTGATGGGGAACAGCGTTTCCATTAGTTCAAGTGAAATACAATGCCCTGCCAACTCTGGGTATCAGTGTATTCAATCCCCCTGCTGTGCGTGTCCATTTTCTGTTGCTGCAATTAAAAAATCAGTCGATACAAAGTCAAAATGTTGTTCATTCTTCCCCTATTCCTTCCCCTGTCACTATGTTTCCAGCTTCACCGGAAGAACCTGTCACTATGGTAACCAGTCCCTCTAATGCACAGACCAAGTCAACCTTTCTAGTCAGATTGCCAAGCAGACAAAATGGAATCAGAGACCTGGATGGAGCTACCAGAAGCCACGAGTCCCATTCCCCTGCATCTCTAAGTAGGGTCAGTCAATACTAGATACAGGGTACCAGTCTTGTTCTAAAAGATTCAGGGAAGGAAATTTAAGAACGTCCTTCAATCTTCTCAATGCTCACCAGTCATTATTAGCTGTTCTCTCCCAACACTTCATCTAGCTTCCTATCATTCCCATTTAAAGAAAACAGAACACAGATAAAAACAACACCATTAATCTGAAAATGGTTATAAAGTCCCCCTCGTGGAAAGTAATTCCTGCTTCTTGGTCAAGCCCCATACATAACATGTTGTGCATCCTTACAAAGTTGCAGGGTTCTACATGGGTCAGGCCACACTAACAAGAGCCTTGTCAAGAAGCAGCTGGGATGTCTGTAAGCACCAGCATGCCCATGCCTACAACTAAAATCCCTAGTCATTCTCAAGAAGCTACACAACAGATGCCAAGATGGACACTCACTCTCTTCCTCTACCCTGCCTCTCCTCCTCACCTCCTAACTGTGCAATGGCCTCCTGGACCATACCCACTACTTGTCATTCTTACATGATTGGTGGTGGTGGTGTGTCTGTTTGTGTGTGTGTGTGTGTGTGTGTGTGTGTGTGTGTGTGTTGTGTGTTCGAACAACCTCAACACTTTTATTTCGGTTCTCTCGGATATTATTTTAAAAACCTCAGCGAACTTCACGGTGATATGAGACATTAAGAATCACTTCTTGTCTTGGCTTCGAAGCGCATTTGCAAATATCAATGCAGTTGTCAACTACTCACTAGTTGAAAAGAATGACACATGAGGAAAGAGGCAAGGATAAAATCTACACATCTTCCCAATGTGCAGCCATTATAGAAAAGAGTACCGTCCCCTCCTCGCAGTGACGTTAAGACACATCACATCAAACAATATTTCCCTGGGCTGATGAGACAGGGTGGTTTCCAACGCATAAATCATACAGGATTTACAAATTGCATCACATAAACAGACTTTTCCATGCATGGGAACATATTCAAATATCTTAGCAAATGTTTGTGTGTTATATGACTTATATACCTTTGAGTGTTCTGTATAAATCTAAGGATAGTATTTTCCCCTCTGATATACCCATTCTGGTATCACTTTTTGTGCTTATTAGACTGCTAATATTCACTGCAAACTGTCCCTTCTGTCAATCACTTTTCCAGAAGACTGTAATGGAATGTTACTGGAGAGCTGCCTTGGGCTACTATAAGGCAGGGCTGTAATGTAATGATGTTTATATGACCAACACCTACACCATGACTTCTACAGTGCATTACTAAGTAAATGTTTCAGGGGTGCATATGGCCTTCTGTGGGAGAGATACCCCACCCCCAGCTTCCCTTGACTGAATCAGTCCAACACCTAAAACAACGATTAAAATTCGGACACATCACCCTTAAAGGGCTTCCTGCAGAAACAACGCTGGAGATCCCCTTCCTTCTCGGAGGCTGATGAAGCATTATTCTGGATTTAAAGGGAGAGAGTGGGAAAGAAAGAGAGAAAGAGAGAGAGAAAGCAGGCTCAGGAAATTCCATGCAGATCTGGGCAGACCAGAGCGAGACAGCAGGTGAGCAACAAGGGTGAGGCCCTTAGCACAATCTATTACCTCTACGCAGAGGCCAGTCCTGCCTACAGCGAGGCTCCAGGAGACGCCATCGCCTGCAGCCACCAGGAGAGGCGAGGGGCTGCAGGGCCTACCTAGAGGCGCCCGGCTCTCCGCAGCGCCACGCCTCGCGCCTCGAGCTTACCTTTCCGGATGAGGGCGGCGATCTCCGGGTCGAAGCCCTGCCGGTGGCACTTCCTCCAGAGGCCCATGTTGGTGGAGTTGTACTGCCGGCTGCACTCGTCCGCCGGGCTCATGGCGAACAGCTGCCGGCGATTCCGGGCCCGGAGGAGTTTGCCCTCCCAGCGGTCCAGGCGCGAGCGGCTCGCGCGCAGAGGCAAGTTGTTGTTGTTGTTGTAAATGAAGCCGGGGTCGACCCGGCGGGTGTTGAAGGTCTTGCACCTGTCCCTGTGTTTCCTGGCGTCCGTCTCGTACCAGTGGTCGGAGCAGATGGCCACAGCCAGCATGCCGAGGGCGCAGAGCGCTAGCGAAAGGCCGGTGTAGAGCAGTAACCTTCCGGCAGCCATGCCTCCGCTTGGCGGCTACACCATGGGCATGATCCGCCGCAGCCTCGCCTTCTCTCTGCGCGCCCCGAACAAAGCGGCGGGCGGCCGAGCTGGGGGTGGGGACTGGCGAGGAGCTGCGCCGCGGCGACCCCTTGGCCCCCACCTGCAGACACCGAGCCGGGAGACTGCGGGGATCGGGGCGGGCAGCCTAAAAAGTTCTGATCCGCTGGGGCTCCCGCGGGGTCCTGGGCATCCTCCGGGCGGGCGCAGCCTCCTCCAGCGGCGGCGAGCTCAACACCGCCACGTCCCACCGCTCAGGAGGTGACTGTCCTAACCCTCCGCCTGGGCGCGCGGCCCCGCAGCCGCAAACTAAATACCAAGTGCTGTCGCCCGCTGCGGGGTTTGCTGGGGCTTCTCTGTGCAGCGCGCTGGCCGGAGCGACTGTCCTGGCTTCCTGGGAACGGTAGGGAGGGCGTGAGAGGACGCGGCACTCCGCCGGTGGAAGGGATCGCTCCCGCGGCCGGCTGCCCTGGATCCCCTTCTCCGGAGCTCTCCCCCTTGTCGATCTACAGCCCAAGGCCGGGGACGCGCGCCCAGAACTGTTCTTCCGCTCTGCGTCGGGTCTTTGCAAAGCCTCGGTCCTCTGGTCACCGGTCGGTGCTTGACTCCTGCCGGCCCACGCGTGCTCTCAGAGGTGAGCTGCCCGAGGACGCACGGTCTCCGACAGCTTTTCCCCGCGAGCTCCCGGGCGGCCTGCCTCTGGCCTCGCCATCCAGACTGTCTAGCTTTTGGACAGCCGGGACCCCCAGGCGGCGTTAGGCGACTGTTCCCAGCCCGGGGTTTGCAGAGACTGGGCGGCAGCTGACGGGCGCTAGGGGCGGGCCGCACAGAGGAGGGCGCACCCCGGGCTCCCCGAGCTCCTTCAACACCATGGACAGGTCGCTCACGGGTGGCGTGCCGCCGGCCCAGCCGCCAGCCTCCTCGGTGTCATTCCGCTCTTTCCAGCGCCGCCTTCCTGGAGTGCGTACACCCAGCCTACTCAAAGATCCCCTCTGCCTCGCGTCACCTGGCCTCCGGCAGCCCCGCGTGCGAGCTGCCCAGGTGCTGCCCAGGTGCTGAGTAAAGGCTGCGGGCTCGGAGAAAACCCGGGACCCGGCTGCTGGAAGCAGCCCGCCCCCTTCTCCGCCAGCTGCGCCCAGGCAGTCCAGCACCCGCGTGCTCTGGCCAGCTGGGGTCAGCCGCTCTCAGACTGCAGCCCGGCGGGGCGACCCAGGCGCCGAGTCCCTCGGCCTCGTGCGGAGGATCGGGTCCCGGCCTCGGCGTCCCGCGATCCGGCTCCCCGCACTGTGCTGAATGGGGCGAGGGTGGGGGGTAGGGAGCCGGGGTGCCTCGGCTTACCCTCCCTACCTCCTCCTCGAGCCGCGGAGGCTTCCGGGCCTCTCAGGCTCAGCTGACGCCCGCGAGGAGCGAGAGCCTAGCCTGCGCCCCAGGGGCTCCCGAAATCGCATTGCCCGGGTGTGGGCGCCCGAGGAAGCCGCTGTCACTCGCTCGGCCTCTAGGCGCTGCAGCCTTGGCTAAAACCCACAGTCGAGAACACGGAGCGCGCAGCCAAAAGCTAGTGATGTCATCCGTGCAACGTGAGCCTCATCTCTTATTTTTCTAGCCTTCTTAAAGTTGAACCGCACCATTTCCCAGGCACGAAATGGCTGAGCCTTATTCTTTGGCCAGGCAAGTCAATGGTGTCTAGGTAGGCATGCACCCCATCACATCCATATTTATGCACATATACATATATGTGGCATGTAGCATGTTTACGTGTATTGTTACAAATTTAGGGTTGGTGCGCCTACGTCTCCTGCTTCTCTTCTCACCGTGGAAAATCCCCTGAAATTCGCCACCGTTCTTTAAAGAATGCTTAGAGGACCAACCGTCTTTAACCAACACTGAGCGAACCCCTGTGACCCGGGTTTGAGCCGCTAGTGTTTCCTGTTCCCTTGATCTTTGGGTATGTGTGGTTGTTGTTTTTTTTTTTTTTTTTTTTTTTTTTTTTTCGCGCCACCCCCCCCCTCCCGAAAAAGCTGGCACTACCTTGATAGCTACGGGCATTTCCACCTGAGGCGGAGCAGAGAGCAGCAGCAAGGCTCTGGGCCAGCCCTAAGCCAGCAGGCGCACACACATGCATGCACACACACGCACGCACACACACACACACCTGACTTCAGCAGAGAGAGAGAGAGAGAAAGAGAGAGAGAGAGAGAGAGAGAGAGCTGACTGCTCGGTTCAAGAGGAAGAGAATCTCGGTGGGGTGGGGTGGGGTGGGGAGGGCAGTTGTGGATTGCTGGGGAGCAGGAGAGCGAAAGCAACCTCGGCCTGGGGTTTGTCACGATCTCTCTGCGACCGCTGGATTTAGCTCTGCAGGGCCCCTCTGGGGTGGGAGGACTCCAGACCTTGAAGGGCTGGGCCCGGCTTAGCTGCTCCATCCCCATCCCGCCCCGCCCCCTGCCTCCCTCACGTGAGATGGCACCGCAAAGGCTGGGAGCCTCCCACCCAGCTCCACAGACCAGGGCTTCATCCTAAAGCCCAGCCTTCGAAGGTTTTCACCCTCTCCGGAGTCGAAGCCCCCCACTGCGGGGTAAAGAGCCGTCCTGGGGGAAAGAGCGTGCCCCGGGCGCCCAGCTTTGCACAGCAGTGCGTGTGAGTCGAAAGGAACACACCTCCACCATATTCTTTTTGTCCTTATTTTTCTCCCTGCATCTTGAAAATCTCGAACAAGGCGTTTCAGTGCCACCTAGTGGGGGAGGGGCGTCTCTCTCTCTCTCTCTCTCTCTCTCTCTCTCTCTCTCTCTCTCTCTCTCTCTCTCTCTCTGAGCCTTGACTTCTGTGATGGGATTTGCTTCATGAAGAGACAGTCCTCGCTCGGGTGCTCAGCTGGTCTAGAAGTTGCAGGCACGTGCAGCTCTAGTCCTCAGCATCCTCAGAGCTCCCTGGGATGCCCTGGTAGAGCTGAGCAACTTTGGCCACGGGGTCTTCTCACCTCCCTCTCTCATCAGGTCTCCTACTTATGCCCTTGGAAACAGGATGCATTTGGCATGCATGCAGACACCTTAAGTTTCTAGAGCTATTTCTTCCCTAAGGCGGAGCAGAAATGCTTTGGACAAACGGGGTTCCTGCATATGACAATTGGAAGGAGGCTGAACCAAGGTCAGTGGGAAGTCAGAGCAAAATTAGCACTGTAGCCCGGTCTCTGGGGTCCCTCGCCAGGGTTCGGCACCAGCTCAGGACCTTTGCAGTGTGCATGCACAAAGGCACGCACGTGCCTCTTTTCAGCGCCCACCCCACCCACAGCCTATTCTTGCTCTACTTTTTAACTTTCCCCCTAGCTGTAGGCCTGTTTTGTCCACTATCCCATGGTCCTCGGTGCTTAGGAAGGGGACTTACATGGGACACTGCCCTCCCCTTTGCCGAACATCACTAACATTCTATTTTGACGCTGTTGTCCTTAATGAAAACACAAAAAAATCCTACAAAAGATGTTGACTGGTGACCTCCTCTTCAGTGTAATTGTTTTGAGCAACCGTAGAGCTACATATCATGAAGATGACACTTGTGCCTAGGGCTAAAAGGCTAAAATGTTGATGGAGTCTTCATTGGACAACAGTGTGTGTGTGTGTGTGTGTGTGTGTGCGTGCACACACACACACACACTGTGGGGGGGGGGCCTTTGTGTAGCCCAGGCTGTCCTGGAACTCAATTTGTAGACCAGGCTGGCCTCACACTCAGTGATCCTCCTGCCTCTGCCTCCCCAGTGTTGGGACTAAAGGTGTGCGCTGCCACCACCTGGCTTAGACAGGAATACCTTTTTGTTGATGTCTTTGTGTGTGCGCTCTGCTAGGATCCAAACAGTTGAACAACCTAGGCGGGTGCTCTACACCCCTGCCTGTCTTAGTCAGTGTTCTATTGCTGTGAATGAGACTCCATGACCAAGGCGACTCTTAAGCTGGTAAGAGAAAGCTTAATTAAGACTTGCTTACAGTTTCAGAGGTTTAGATCATTATCATGCTGACGGGAAGCAGGACTGCATGAAGAAGGAGCTGAGCTCTACATCTGGATCCACAGGCAGCAGGAAGAGAGAGCCTCTGGGACTGGCTTGGGCTTTTGAAACCTCAACGCCTGCCCCCCCAACATACTTGCATGTACTCTAACAACACCACACCTCATCATCCTTCTCAAGCAGTGACATTTCCTGTTGACAAAGCATTCAGATATAGGAGTCTCTAGGACCTTTTTTACATACACACACACACACACACACACCACTTTTTGTATTTTATTTTTGGGGACAATGTGCACTAAGTTGCTAGGCTGACCTTGAACTTACATTCTTCCTGCCCCAACCTTCCAGGTGCTACCACATCCCACTATGATTTACTCTTTTTAACTCTACAATCTAACTTCAGATTCCTCTACCCTGTTAGCTATAGCATCTCTCCTTTTGTGCGTGTGTCTCTTCCTGTTTGTACTAACGTTGTCCTAAAGTCATAAAGCCTCACAATCAGAAGAGATCCAGAGTAAAACAGAAAATGATGCATGAGTATGGGAAAGCCCCAGGAAGTAAATGATCAGCTTCTGCTCACACACTTGACACAACGAAGACGTCTAGCTCTGGGCAATGTGGACAAGGGTCTCCGTCCTGCCTGACCCTGCATCCATTTAGTCCCAAATAAACACACAGAGGCTTATATTAATTATGAACTGTTGGGCTGATGGCTCAGGCTTCTTACTGGCTAGCTGTCTCTTAATTATTAACCCATTTCAATTGTCCTGTGTATCTCCACATGGCCTTGGCTTACCCGTGAAGCTTGGACCTCTTTCTTCCTCGGAGGCTGCATGGCGTCTCCCTGGTGACTCACTCTCTGTTCCTCTTCCAGAATTCTCCTAGTCTGGTAACCCCGCCAATACGTCCTGCCTGGCTACATCCTGCCTGTCCATTGGCCGAAACAGCTTTATTCATTAACCAATAAGAGAAACATATATTCACAGCTTTCAGAAGGACATCCCCCATCAGGGACAGCAACGCACTCCATTACCAGATGATCTGGCTGGTCAAGTAGCTTCTTTATACTTAGTGAGACTCCCTCTAACTTCCAGCCATTGGCTCTTAGTTTTGCCTTTAGGAGACCCAGGGATGGTATCTAATCCATCCTTCTCATACTTGACATCAGTGTTATGAACCCACTTTTTCTCCATAGAAAGGGAGCTTAGACAGTGTCCATTTACCCAATCTTTCCCTGTGGTCAGGTTCACCTAGGAAGGAAATCTGGCATTCTGTCATAGTTTTACATGCCTG